TTGTTAAGTTTATTTGTTTAGAGCCTAAAATATCTGTTGATACAAATGTTAACAACAACATTGCCAACTTTACAATTAGGGTAAAATAAAGTGATGTGTAGTCAATATTTATTTATTATATTAAAGTGATGTGTGTACTAATGTCATTGTGTAGTGTATGCAACACTTTTCTTAAGTAACCTGTAATACAATAGAAATAAACTGATGATGTACATATCCTAGTCTATCACTAAGACACACTGGACTATAAAATTAAGAGGTTTGAACCAATGTTACTGCAGATAGTAAGATAAGTTAATTAAGATCAACACCAGTAGATACCAGCAGTAGCCATTAGTATAAAAGGAATGAGAACTGAGCAGTTTATGCTAGAATAAACAATAAAATGTTTACTCAGGACAATAATATTATTGACTTCCAATAATTATTTGCTCTTGTTCTTTTTTGCTATTAGCTACACATATAAACATTAAATGTAATGTGTGTGTGTATACACAAAATAGCTGATGTAAGCACACAGCTTTAAATAGTTCATATAAAAAGAGACTATACTACATCATTATTTGTCCATACGCATCATTATTATGTACATTAATTATATCTTTATTATTAATTGGTCCATAAGCAGTATTAGCCTGTAGTTCCATTGGTGTATCATATATTGGTACTCCAGTAGTAGTAGTTGGTTTAACAATGATCTCATCATATGTAGGAGTAACTGCTCCATCAGTACTGATCCTAATGTGTGTTTGCTCATAACAATAATGATAATTGTTATTTAATAACTTGCTTTTTAGATGCTCTGTTAGTATCTGCATGTAGTAGAAAAAATGATAAAAATCAAACCAATAAAGCACTTACTTTTTTGTTTCTTGATCACCAGTATTATTATTAGTGCAGTAATAATAATTATTATTATAACAAATACTGTTCCAATAGCTCCTGATATAATAGGAACAGCATTAGAAGCAGTAGCAGTACTGGTACTGGGTGTTATCATAGTTGATAATGTCAGTGTTGATCTAACAGTTGTAGGAGCAGTAGTGAATCCAGTGGTAGATGATGAGCTTGTTACTGTATTAGTATGTGATGATGAGTCAGTGCTGGAAGCTGATACTGTAACTATTTATCATGATTAATATTAAACCTACTTGAAGTAGATGGTATATACAATACTGGTGTACTGGTACTTATATCAGTAGTTAATGTAACGAATAATGTACAATATATCATGTATTAATGAATAATGTATTAACTGTACAGACCTGATGATGATGCACTAGTAATTGAACTACTGGTCATTATAGCAGATATATTGACTATAAATAGAGCTGAGCAATAATGCTAGATTGTTGTAAAGTAATTAACCATACCATTAACAGTAGCTGATGGTCCATATCCAATAACATTAACAGGAATGATAGTAACAGTGTAGTTTGTATCAGTAAGAGGTAGTCCAGTGATAGTAATATTAGTATCATTAGTATTATTAGTGTATATAATACTGTTTGATGTATTGTATACACTAATAATGTAATACTGAGTAGGAGGAACTGGTATAGTAGAATAGTACTAAGCATATCATCAATACAATAATAATTAATAATGGTTAATATACTTGAGTGTTATTCCACCATATTGTAATACTATCAGTTGATATCTGATCCCAACTAATATTAACAACTTGAGCTGGTACTATAAGAAATACAATGAGTGTGTGTGTATAGTACTTACCATTCCATATATACTGTATTAATGATGAAGGAGGTCCTTCTCTTCCAATAGTATCAATAGGAATAATAATAAATGAATAATTAGTACCAATAATAAGATCATTAATTGTCATATCAGTTGTGTCAGTTAATTTTGATTCATTAAGTGTATTGTTACTATTAATAGTAACATTATAATAGTCTATACATGGATCTGATGGTGCATTCCAATTCATTATTAATGTATCATCAGTGGTAAGAATAATACTTATATTACTAACTGGTATTGCTGGTGGACCTGTGATTACATAAAATAGACTATAACTAACTGTATTATAATGAATTAATAAATCTAACCTGATATATTAATGGTATATTTATTTTCTTCAAAAGTTGAATCCGAACAACCAACTCTTACTCCATTAGCAGACAATGGAATGGACTCATTAGTAGCAGTAATCACTGTTGTAGTACTGTTGCTTAGTGTATATATTGAGAAACTATCCAATGATTGTACAGTTCCATTGATCAGTCCAATAAATGAATTTTTACTAAAATTATCTTTCTGCCAGTATACTTCTCCTGTACCATGAAATACACAAGTCAGTACTAGTCATCA